CCCGCCTCCTTCGCCTGCATCACGTGGGAAGCTCTCCCCGGGCTCCTAACCCGAGCAGCCGCGCCTTCTCGCGCGGCCGAGGGGAAGTGGCGCTGCGGCGGGTGAGCGGCGGAGTCTTTGCTGGCGCTAACAGCTGGAGGGCATCACGACTCCGCATTCCGGCCGTGGGAGGAACTTCTCCGCCGAGGCCACCATGAACCTGTTGCCGCTGCTGCTGCTGACTCTCCTTCCCCCCTTCTGCCTTGCTGGGATTTCGGGTAGGTGACCCCGGGAGACGCCCCTCCCCGGGAAGTAAGTGACAAGGGACCCCCCCGCCGACACACACACTTTCTCCTCCTTCCATGTTTCCCCAACGCGTGGCTCTCCAAAGTCTTGGACGGCGCTTTCCATCACCCCCGCCGGCTCTTCGGGAGACGGGGGGACAGAGGGGGGTCCGAGGCGGCCCTCCCACTTGCCGGCCGCCGGTTTCAAAGGGACTGCTTTGGGGTAGCTTTCTTCGGAGAAGGTGGCCCGTGCGGCTCGCGGTCCCTTCGCTCCCCCGCAGACGTGCGAAAAGCCAGTTTCGACTCGGAGTCAGGCGTGCCTGCGCTGGAAAAGAGGCCGGCGCTTCCTCTTCTGGGTTCAGTCGGGTGCTGATGAAGGTGTTGGGCCAGGATGAGTCCAGCCTGAGTCAGGGAGGCTCAGCAGCGAATTTAGGCCGTCACTCTCAGCCCAACCCCTGTCAGGGAGGTTTGTGGTGAGGAGACCCCATGCGTGTTGCCTTGAGCTCCTAGTTAAAAGTGAGTTATAAATCTAAATGAAATAGATACTGGAATCATGGATATGTAGGTAGGTTATGGACAGATGGTTCTTGGATACTTTTTTTTTTTTAAAGGAAGGCAAAACCCATCGGATTATCTGTCCTTCATTTAAACCAGTGTTTTTCAAACTTGGTTGCCAAGTTTGAAAAACACTGCTTTATAAGATCCTGAAGGTTGCAAAAGTTGTACATCTTTGGAGGAGGGGAAGACCTATTGATGGAGGAATCCAGGGATTACATGTACACTGACCTGGGAATGCTGATGGCTTGTTTGGAAGAAAACTGGAAAAGGGTGGGAGGTGGAACAGGAGGAGGGAGATTCGGTTGATTGACTGGAACAGCAAAAATGTACACACCACATTGTAAACTTTTCTTTCGAGCCCCATTTATCAAAAGAGATTGTTCTGTTTTGCTCTAGAGGCTCACTTTTGGACAGATACTAATTTTGTTCTGGAAGTCTCATTGTCTCTTGTAAATGCTAATAGTTCAGCAACATTTTACTCTTTATTTTTTTTCCCCCCGATGCTAGCGTGCTTGCATTGTTCATTTGTTAACAGGGTTATATGTCATAATTACTGCAGCATATTTTGAAAGGCATTGGAATATTGCATTTTGGCTCCTCCAAGGTTGCACTGACAGCAGTGGGGAGCAATCTTCATAAAATCAAATTTTGTTGTTGTTCAGTCATTAAGTCGTGTCCGACTCTTCGTGACCCCATGAACCATATTGCGCCAGGCCTTCCCAAATTTTGTTGTTGTTCAGTCATTAAGTCGTGTCCGACTCTTCGTGACCCCATGAACCATATTGCGCCAGGCCTTCCAAAGGCATTGGAATATTGCATTTTGGCTCCTCCAAGGTTGCACTGACAGCAGTGGGGAGCAATCTTCATAAAATCAAATTTTGTTGTTGTTCAGTCATTAAGTCGTGTCCGACTCTTCGTGACCCCATGAACCATATTGCGCCAGGCCTTCCTGTCCTCATAAAATCAAAACCAAGCCATAAATACAGCTTTCCATATTGAGTCAAAACTCATTGTAGACAAGGAAGCGAGTCCCATTTATTTCTAGAGAACTTGCTTCTTCCAAGTAAGGCTGTAAACCATGTGGCTGGCTGCTAATCAAATCAGTCCTACTCAAATTTGGACAAACTTTTCTGAACCAGGGAAAGTATATCCCCCAAGTGTGCCAGAAGCTATAGGTGCCTGTGACAGTATGAAGGAGATGTGGCTGCATATACACAAACAAATATGCTCACTTCTCACCCTCCCTATTACTGATTAGTGTACTTTGTCCAACTGGTCAGATGTCAGGCAAGAAAGGAGAAGAAAAGATTGGGGCAAGAAGGGAGGGAGGGAGGGAGGGAAGCAGAGAGTCCCAGGGGCTAGGGGGCAGCAAAGGATCAGAAGCCAACAGCATGGTCGAGCTGATGATAATGATGGGTGGACAGTTTGGGGGAAGCAGGTGCGAAGCCCCCATTCTTTCTGGGTATGTTGGGCAGGAATATTGGGCAAGCAACTTGATGAACTTGCCACAAACATTTGGGAAGGAGCCACTGTCACTTGAAGGTCTGAACCAGAGAGGCGGGAGAGTGGCTTAGGGCTTTCACTGCTGTTGTGCGCAGGCCCCAACCCTCTCTTTAGAGGGCCACAAATGGACTGCAGGTCGAAGGTCTTTGGCTGAAAAAGCAGGTCATTCCAAGTAACTCCTAGACTGGGAATGGGCAATTAGATATCCATGGGCTGGATCCAGTCCCAGAATAATTTGACCAGTGCTCAAAAAGATTAGAACTAACATATCCTTTAAGGAGCATTCTCAGTATGCGGGGCAACTTAGAAAGTCACATAAGCAGATTTCTTCCAAGGCAGCTCATGTTTTGAAGATTAAAGAAAATATAATAAAACTAAGTGAAGTTGGGCTTGAGTGCGATATGGTGCATAATTTCTCAGAAGCAAGTCCTACTGAGTTCAGGTTAGCTTAATTTCAATAGGAGATGTGTTTGTACAATACATCAAGTGCACTTTGATCACTCTAGTGCATTATTAAGGATAAGTTTTGGTAATTTTCCCCCCAGACATTTCTTTTAAACAAACAAACAAAAAATGTTTTCCTACTTAGGAAATATGACTGAGCTTCTCAGTAGACTTCATTTACCTTCATGATAGCAGGTTCATGACCCCTGATTAGCGAGGATCACTCCTATATACAGTATAAGTAAGAATTGATTTTGTCAGACCTCTGTTGTACCATGTTGCCCAATTTGCTCCATAACTTTATGAATTCAATTAATCATACCTGCAACCTGGCTGCTGTCCAGGTGGGATCACT